GGTAACCCAGTCCAGTGCTTCACCACCCTCCTAGTGAAATAGTTTTTCCTAATATCCAACCTAGACCTCCCCCACTGCAACTTGAGACCATTGCTCCTTGTTCTGTCATCTGCCACCACTGAGAACAGCATAGCTCCATCCTCTTTGGAACCCCCTGTAACGAGGCGGCCTTTCGTGGGACACTACTGAGAGTATCAATTCAGGATAAATTGCTTAGAGCAGGGCAGTTACAGCCCAAAGCTGGAGTTCCTTTACTATGAAGGCACGCCAAACCAGCCAAACAGAGAGGACTTCGGTTTTACCCCACTGGCTAACCAGAAGTCATACAAGCAATTCCCTCAGATACTCCTGTTCCCTTTATCACCACCAGCATTGCTCCTTATGGGGATGAATGGTTATGAAAACCAATACCCAAGTAAAAGAAAAAAAAAGGATCTCCCGATCCCAAGGGACCAAGCCCCAAACCCAGGTCAATATACAAGTCAGATCTTACCCATAAATCATGCTTATGCCAATCCTTTAAAATCTAAAGGTTTGTTCAAAAAAAGAAATATAGATGAGAGCTAAAATTGGTCAAAGTAATCAATTACATACAGCAATGGCAAAGTTCTCGGTTCAGGTTTGTAGCAGTGATGGAATAAACTGCAGGCTCAAATCAAGTCTCTGGAGTACATCCACAGCTTGGATGGGTCATTCAGTCCTTTGTTCAGAGCTTCAGTGTAGCAAAATTCCTCCAGAGGTAAGAAGCAGGACTGAAGACAAAATGGAGATGATGCAGCTGCCTTTTATAGTCCTTTTGCCATGTGGCTTGTGCTTCCTTTGTTCCAAGCACAAGCTACGCAGCACATGGCATGGAAAAACTTTAGAGTTCTGTCCATAGGCATGTCCCTGCATGCCTTGCTGAGTCACAAGGTGAATCTGCCTTCTCTCAATGGGTCAGTTGTATAGCTGATGGTCCTTAATGGGCCATCAAGCAGGCTAGGCAGTGCTGATGCCAAATTGTCTGGGGTGTCACCCAGAAGCATAGCACAAGTTTGAAATACAGACAATATAGAGCCAATACTTATAACTTTAAATACAAAAATGATACATGCATAGAGATAGCATAATCATAACCAGCAAATCATAACCTTTTCATAGACACCTTACTTGACCTCTTTTGTACAAGATTTGGTGCAACTATATGACTTTGGTTGCAACAATGATCTATACTGTCACAGTTCATGTCAATAATGTCACACGCCCCTTCAGGTAGTTGAAGGCTGCTATCAAATCTCCCCTCACTCGTCTCTTCTGGAGATTAAGTAAGCCCAGTTCCCTCAGCCTCTCCTCATAAGTCATGTGCCCCAGCCCCCTAATCATTTTCGTTGCCCTCCGCTGGACTCTCCAATTTGTCCACATCCTTTCTGTAGTGGGGGCCCAAAACTGGACATAATATTCCAGATGTGGCCTCACCAGTGCCAAATAGAGGGGAATAATCACTTCCCTCGATCTGCTGGCAACACTCCTACTTTTGTAGTCAGCCTTGCAAGGTATTCACATGCCAGATATGCTAAACATTTGTTTGCCCCTTTGTGCTTTGGCCACCATTCCAGAGGTCATGCTTCCATGCTGATGACGCTCGTTAAAAAAATGTGTGTTAATTAAATTTGTGACTGAACTCCTTGGGGGAGAATTGTATGTCCCCTGCTCTGTTTTATCCGCATTCTGCATATATTTCATGTTATAGCAGTCTCGGATGATGACCCAGCACATGTGGTTCATTTTAGGAACACTTTCACTGCAGATTTGACAGAATACAAAGAAGGTACCAATGTGAGATTTCTAAAGATAGATTTTGGAAGGCACTTGAGTGCTGTAGCTGAGAGGGACGAGGTGTGGAGTTTGCTTTCAGAAGTCTTAAAAGAGTAACACTCCAATGCAGAAACTACAGAAACAGCAAAACCACCAAAAAAGAAAATCAACCTTCTGCTGGTGGCATCTGACTCAGATAATGAAAATGAACATGCGTCGGTGCACACTGCTTTGGATGTGATATATATCTACCAATGTGATATACGCCATCATGTGCCAGCAATGCCCCTCTGCCATGTACATTGGCCAAACCGGACAGTCTCTACGCAAAAGAATTAATGGACACAAATCTGACATCAGGAATCATAACATTCAAAAACCAGTGGGAGAACACTTTAACCTGTCTGGTCACTCAATGACAGACCTGTGGGTGGCAATTTTGCAACAGAAAAGCTTCAAAAACAGACTCCAATGAGAAACTGCTGAGCTTGAATTGATATGCAAACTAGATACAATCAACTTAGGCTTGAATAGAGACTGGGAATGGCTGAGCCATTACAAACATTGAATCTATCTCCCCATGTAAGTATTCTCACACTTCTTATCAAACTGTCTGTACTCTGAAACCTGTACTGGGCTATCTTGATTATCACTTCAAAAGTTTTTTTCTCTTACTTAATTGGCCTCTCAGAGTTGATAAGACAACTCCCACCTTTTCATGCTCTCTGTATGTGTATATATATCTCCTCAATATATGTTCCATTCTATGCATCCGAAGAAGTGGGCTGTAGCCCACGAAAGCTTATGCTCAAATAAATTTGTTAGTCTCTAAGGTGCCACAAGTACTCTTGTTCTTTTTGCTTTGGATTGTTATCAAGCAGAACCTGTCATCAGCATGGATGCATGTCCCCTGGAATGGTGGTTGAAGCATGAAGGGACATATGAATCTTTAGCACATCTGGCACATAAATATCTTGCAATGCCAGCTACGACAGTGCCATGAGAATGCCTGTTCTCACTTTCAAGTGACATTGTAAGCAAGAAGTGGGCAGCATTATATCCTAAAATGTAAACAAACTTGTTTGTCTGAGCGATTGGCTGAACAAGAAGTAGGACTGAGTGGACTTTCAGGCTCTAAAATTTTACATTGTTTTATTTCTGAATGCAGTTTATTTTGTACATAATTCTACATTTGTAAGTTCAACTTTCATGATAAAGAGATTGCACTACTGTAGTTGTATAGGTGAATTCCAAAATACTATTTTTTGTTGGTTTTTTTACAGTGCAAATACTTGTAATAGGGTGACCAGATGTCCCGATTTTATAGGGACAGCCCCGATATTTGGGGCTTTTTCTTATAAAGGCTCCTATTACCCACCACGCCCTATCCCGATTTTTCACACTTGCTATCTGGTCAGCCTAATTTGTAATCAAAAATAAATATTAAGTGAGCACTGTATACTTTGTATTCTGTGTTGTAACTGAAATCAATATATTTGAAAATGTAGAAAACATCCAAAAATATTTAAATAAATGGTATTCTATTATTGTTTAAAAGTGCAATTAATCACGCAATTAATCACTATTAATTTTTTTAATCGCTGACAGCCCTAATTTCTGTGAAACATTTTGGTTTCAATGAATTGTCATTTTCCAACGAAAACGTCAGAAAATTCCCAACCAGTTCTAGCTACAAACTCCTTTTCCCTAGGGCTTTGGGAAACAACTTACTTCAGTTTAGAGTCTGATTTGCTGGCTCCCAACTGACGGTCAGTTTTCCTCTCTTTGACTGATTCCAGCTGTCACAGTCTTTTAGACTCCCCACCCTACTCCTGCCCCTATCTCTGGTCCTTCTGACATTACTCACTGTATTCCCCATTCCAGAAGCTTCTGTTCTCTCTAGAACATTGCTGCCAGTCTGCCTCTTATATGGGGGAGTATTCAGTATCAAAGTCATTTATTCTCTTTCACTGATTATGAAGCCTAACGGCTTTAAATTGAACTGAGGGAAGAACTGGTCTCAATGTATTGCTCACGAAAGCTCATATGTTCGTTATGGCAAACCTAAAATATGTACTCCAGATATCTGAGGTGTAAGGTTACAAGAAGTGTAAGATTACCAGCACATGACCAGGGTAGTATAGTGACACCTGTGCTCTACATGGCTAAGTTGCAGAGCTGAGCTGCAGTCCTGACACCCACAGAGAGAATGGTTTTCATTTGGTTTGGGGAGAAAAATAACAGAAGAAAACATACACCGAAGGCTGCATTTTCTTCGGAACTGTTACACTTGGATTTCCTGATATGGTGAACTGCATGCTGAGGTCATATTGAATGAGAATGGCCTTGGCTAAAGTGTCAATTCACTAAAACAGGGGTCAACAACTGGTTATGCAGCTTGATTACCAAATTGATTTGTATGGTTAGAGAGGTTGAAGTGTTCTCCCACTGGTTTTTGAATGTTATGATTCCTGATGTCAGATTTGTGTCCATTTATTCTTTTGCGTAGAGACTGTCCGGTTTGGCCAATGTACATGGCAGAGGGGCATTGCTGGCACATGATGGCGTATATCACATTGGTAGATGTGCAGGTGAACCAGCCCCCAGTGGCCTTTGTGAAATGAGCTTGTGGTCTCCGTAAATGTGCCAGGGGACAGGTATCCACGTCAGAAAAAGCATAACCAAACCTGGCACTAACTCCAGCAGCATTCCTTGTGGAGCATCCAAGGACTGAATGGGCATTTAAAGTGAACTACCTGCTCTCCTCCAAAGGTGGGTTTAACACCTCCCATGTTGGTAGGGTTGTAAAGGAAGCTCGTACTGCTACTTTCTGTACTGTCTGTGGATAAATAAGTAGAACTTAAATCTCCAGGGCTCTCTCTTTAGTGGCTTTCACCAGCACTAAGTTCATGTTTAAAACCTAGTACAAAGAACAAAGGAACATGAAAAGTGAAAAAAAAGTGATGTGAAAAGAGGGAAGAATATTTGGCACTGAGTTAGGAAAAGAAATCCCCATCCAGTTGTGAAATCCTCTCCTATCCCCTACACAGGGACCAGTTCCAGAGCCCCAGCTGCTTAGGCTGTTAATGATAGATAGACTATCTCAGCATGGAGCGTGTGGCTGGAATGCGAAACAGCTCAAGCCAATTCTGCAGCAAGCCCCACTAGTCCCACCTCCCTGCAGAGCTGCTTGAGTGACAATTCAGTGCAGACAACAGCCCATGTATGTCAGACAGAAACCCAGAGGTAAGAGACTGACAATATATCAGTCCACCACTTAATGAAATCAAATGCTGATGGTGTGTAACAAAGGGCTGCTGGCTGGGAGGGTTTGGGGGAGGGTTACTTGAGGAAAAGCTAGTTTAAACTAGAACTGTGTGAAACTTTTGTAATGAAACTTCATATCTTTTGTTATAAACCAAAATGTCAAGCAGGGTTTGCTAAAATGTCTGCCAAGTTCAAAAATCTCTCAGCAAACCTAGTCTGAATATTGGCTGAATAGTTTCTAGTAAACCTGAGGTAATGTAGGGTTTTGGGTGGAAACAAGTTGGTTTTGATCCACAAATAGGTGCACCTTGGCAATTTCAGCTGATGTTTCACATTCGGTTTGCGGGCTTGTTTAAAACTGGAAAGTCAGCACAAAACTCGATACCCAACTATCTTCAAAGGAGTTACACGAGGGCTGAATTTGGCCTGTGGGTGGCAGGCTCACACAACTCAAAACTAGAAAGTTTGTGCGAACCCTTGGGGATCCCAAACTGTTGGAGTTTTGCAGAGATCTAATAAAGAGCACATATATAGAAGGGGAATTTTGCTCCCTATGGATCATATCTGATTCCACACATTTAATGAAATGGGGGGTTTGTTTTAGTAAGTACAGATTAAAAAAGGAGTACGGACATCTGGGTTTGGCCCACTGTTTAGGTCAGGAGTGTCTCATCTCTCTTGGCAACTGCTATTTGGTGGCTTGAGAGAGGATGTCTATAAGAACTATACCCCGTCTTTGTATCAAACAGACCAGACCCATCCCTCCCTTACAGGTGGATTTCTAAGATTCTAGCAAAAATCACCTACTGAGTGTGTATATATTAATTATTACTATTATAGTAGTGCCTAGAGGTCCCAACCGAGAACAGGGCCCCACTGTGCTAGGCACTGCATGAACCCATAGTAAAAAGACACTTCCTGTCCTGAAGAATTTTCAGTCTAACTGGACAAGACAGACAAAGGAAGTATTATCCCATTTCACAGCTGGAAAACTGAGACCCAGAGGGTTAAGAGACTTGCCCTGGCTCACACAGGAAGTCTGTGAAGGAGCCAAGAATTGCTCCTGACTCCCAGTCCATTGCCTTCACCACAAGCCCATCTCTTTCTATGGAGCTAGCTTTCTATTTAGATATATAATTTTTTTAGAATGAAGGAATAGTTTCACAGACATTAACAGAAGTTGTTCAGAGAAAATAATAGCTTCTGGAGAAGGACTGAAGGAACTATTGCTAGAGTTGAACTGAAACTCCCCATTTCCAGCCCTTTGTACCTTTTTACGTAGTGATTACATAAAGTAAGAGATTAGTCAGCCCTCTTGTTTCTGGGGAAGCTAGTCTGTCTCTCCGTATTTACTATCTGCCATCTGGCTTTCTCTTTGTCTGCAGGTTTCTTTCTTTACACATTTTACCATACTGCTTACCACTTTGTCTAAAGCACCCAAAAGCCCAGTGCATCTATACATAGGATTTTTCCGTCTGTTAGCCCATCCTCTACAACACATAGATTCATAGATTCATAGATTCTAGGACTGGAAGGGACCTCGAGAGGTCATCGAGTCCAGTCCCCTGCCCTCATGGCAGGACCAAATACTGTCTAGACCATCCCTGATAGACATTTATCTAACCTACTCTTAAATATCTCCAGAGATGGAGATTCCACAACCTCCCTAGGCAATTTATTCCAGTGTTTAACCACCCAGTTAGGAACTTTTTCCTAATGTCCAACCTAGACCTCCCTTGCTGCAGTTTAAACCCATTGCTTCTTGTTCTATCCTTAGAGGCTAAGGTGAACAAGTTTTCTCCCTCCTCCTTATGACACCCTTTTAAATACCTGAAAACTGCTATCATGTCCCCTCTCAGTCTTCTCTTTTCCAAACTAAACAAACCCAATTCTTTCAGCCTTCCTTCATAGGTCATGTTCTCAAGACCTTTAATCATTCTTGTTGCTCTTCTCTGGACCCTTTCCAATTTCTCCACATCTTTTTTGAAATGCGGTGCCCAGAACTGGACACAATACTCCAGCTGAGGCCTAACTAGAGCAGAGTAGAGCGGAAGAATGACTTCTCGTGTCTTGCTCACAACACACCTGTTAATACATCCCAGAATCATGTTTGCTTTTTTTGCAACAGCATCACACTGTTGACTCATATTTAGCTTGTGGTCCACTATAACCCCTAGATCCCTTTCTGCCGTACTCCTTCCTAGACAGTCTCTTCCCATTCTGTATGTGTGAAACTGATTTTTTCTTCCTAAGTGGAGCACTTTGCATTTGTGTTTGTTAAACTTCATCCTGTTTAACTCAGACCATTTCTCCAATTTGTCCAGATCATTTTGAATTATGACCCTGTCCTCCAAAGCAGTTGCAATCCCTCCCAGTTTGGTATCATCCGCAAACTTAATAAGCGTACTTTCTATGCCAATATCTAAGTCGTTGATGAAGATATTGAACAGAGCCGGTCCCAAAACAGACCCCTGCGGAACCCCACTCGTTATGCCTTTCCAGCAGGATTGGGAACCATTAATAACAACTCTCTGAGTACGGTTATCCAGCCAGTTATGCACCCACCTTATAGTAGCCCCATCTAAATTGTATTTGCCTAGTTTATCGATAAGAATATCATGCGAGACCGTATCAAATGCCTTACTAAAGTCTAGGTATACCACATCCACTGCTTCACCCTTATCCACAAGGCTCGTTATCCTATCAAAGAAAGCTATCATATTGGTTTGACATGATTTGTTCTTTACAAATCCATGCTGGCTGTTCCCTATCACCTTACCACCTTCCAAGTGTTTGCAGATGATTTCCTTAATTACTTGCTCCATTATCTTCCCTGGCACAGAAGTTAAACTAACTGGTCTGTAGTTTCCTGGGTTGTTTTTATTTCCCTTTTTATAGATGGGCACTATATTTGCCCTTTTCCAGTCTTCTGGAATCTCTCCCGTCTCCCATGATTTTCCAAAGATAATAGCTAGAGGCTCAGATACCTCCTCTATTAGCTTCTTGAGTATTCTAGGATGCATTTCATCAGGCCCTGGTGACTTGCAGGCATCTAACTTTTCTAAGTGATTTTTAACTTGTTCTTTTTTTATTTTATCTGCTAAACCTATCCCCTTGCCATTAGCATTCACTATGTTAGGCATTCCTTCAGACTTCTCGGTGAAGACCAAAACAAAGAAGTCATTAAGCATCTCTGCCATTTCCAAGTTTCCTGTTACTGTTTCTCCCTCTTCACTAAGCAGTGGGCCTACCCTGTCTTTGGTCTTCCTCTTGCTTCTAATGTATTGATAAAAAGTCTTCTTGTTTCCCTTTATTCCCGTAGCTAGTTTGAGCTCATTTTGTGCCTTTGCCTTTCTAATCTTGCCCCTGCATTCCTGTGTTGTTTGCCTATATTCATCCTTTGTAATCTGTCCTAGTTTCCATTTTTTATATGACTCCTTTTTATTTTTTAGATCATGCAAGATCTCGTGGTTAAGCCAAGGTGGTCTTTTGCCACATTTTCTATCTTTCCTAACAGTGGAATAGCTTGCTTTTGGGCCCTTAATAGTGTCCCTTTGAAAAACTGCCAACTCTCCTCAGTTGTTTTTCCCCTCAGTCTTGATTCCCATGGGACCTTACCTATCAGCTCTCTGAGCTTACCAAAATCTGCCTTCCTGAAATCCATTGTCTCTATTTTGCTGTTCTCCCTTCTACCCTTCCTTAGAATTGCAAACTCTATGACTTCATGATCACTTTCACCCAGGCTGGCTTCTACTTTCAAATTCTCAACGAGTTCCTCCCTATTTGTTAAAATCAAGTCTAGAACAGCTTCCCCCCTAGTAGCTTTTTCAACCTTCTGAAATAAAAAGTTGTCTGCAATGCAGTCCAAGAATTTGTTGGATAGTCTGTGCCCCGCTGTGTTATTTTCCCAACATATATCCGGATAGTTGAAGTCCCCCATCACCACCAAATCTTGGGCTTTGGATGATTTTGTTAGTTGCTTAAAAAAAGCCTCATCCACCTCTTCCACCTGGTTAGGTGGCCTGTAGTAGACTCCTAGCATGACATCTCCCTTGTTTTTTACCCCTTTTAGCCTAACCCAGAGACTCTCAACACTTCCATCTCCTATGTCCATCTCTACCTCAGTCCAAGTGTGTACATTTTTAATATATAAGGCAACACCTCCTCCCTTTTTCCCCTGTCTATCCTTCCTGAGCAAGCTGTACCCATCCACACCAACATTCCAATCATGTGTATTATCCCACCAAGTTTCAGTGATGCCAACAATGTCATAGTTGTATTTATTTATTAGCACTTCCAGTTCTTCCTGCTTAAAAAAAAAAAAAAAAAATAATGGAGATATCCCATCTCCTAGAACTGGAAGGGACCTTGAAAGGTCATCGAGTCCAGCCCCCTGCCTTCACTAGCAGGACCAAGTACTGATTTTGCCCCAGATCCCCAAGTGGCCCCCTCAAGGATTGAACTCACAACCCTGGGTTTAGCAGGCCAACGCTCAAATCTTATTACCCATACTTCTCGCATTTGTATATAGGCATCTAAGATACTGGTTTGATATTTCCTCCCAGTTTTGTCCTGACCCTCCTTTCTCTCTGCCAATATAGCCCACACTCCCTCTTGTTTCCGACCCATCTCCCAGGTCTCCATGTTCCCCACTTACCTGTGGGCTTTGCTCACCTGTCCCCGTCGAACCTAGTTTAAAGCCCTCCTCACTAGGTTAGCCAGTCTGTGTCCAAATAGGGTCTTTCCCCTCCTCGAAAGGTGAACGCCATCTCTGCCTAGCAGTCCTTCCTCGAATAGCATCCCGTGGTCTAGGAAGCCAAAGCCCTCCTGGCGACACCATCTTCGCAGCCAGGCATTCACCTCCATGATGCATCTGTCTCTGCCCGGGCCCCTATCTTTGACAGGAAGAATCGAAGAGAATACCACCTGCGCTCCAAACTCCTTCACCAGTACTCCCAGAGCCCTGTAGTCACTCTTGATCTGCTCAGTGTCACACTGCGCAGTATCATTTGTGCCCACATGGATGAGTAGCATGGGGTAGTAGTCAGAGGGCTGGATAATCCTCGACAATGCCTCTCTAACGTCTCGGATACATACAACTTGTTTTCTCAATCTGGAGATCACAGGGAGCCGGGTTGCAGTTCATGATTAACAAGCAGTTTGGGAAATAATAAGGTCACTGCCTTCTGTACTACTTTCATTTGACATGGTATTGCTCTCCTGACAGTGCCATCCCTGCACACAGCATGATTGGAAATCTGGCCTGTACTTTGGGAAGACAAAGAGCTGCTGTGGCTCCTAGGATCATCCAGATGAGAAGATTCCTGCATGGTGAGTAGTGTCCTCTGAAAAAGTCCCTGTGATTGGAACGCAACCGGGATCCTGAACTGGCAGTGTCTGGGAACAATGTAGAGGCAGCTCACTCAAGGTAGCCTGAGGCCTTTTAAAACTCATTTCACAGAGAGCTTCTGTTTTATGGCATTTATAGGAAAAAATATGGGGCAAGGGAACTTCAGTGCATGATACTGTAATGTCTTGGCTGTGGTGGTATTTTTAGCACTGACAGCTCCACTCTTTTAATGTGCACACCCTTCTCAAATCATGACAGACTTGCAAAGCCCAGTTCTCCTCTCACTTACACCAGTGTAAATTGGGATTAGCTCCATTGAAGTCCCTGGAGTTACACAGCTGTAAAATTGATGGGAGAGGATAATGAGGCCCATAATGTTCAATATGAAATTGATTGACAATTGACTTCACAGTTCAGATTTCAGGAGCGGCGTGACTGGGACCCTTCGATGCTAGTTCAATACAAAAAATAATAAAGAATAATCCTAGGATTAAAAGGATCCTAATCACTCTTCAAGCTCTACATTACTCCTAATAAAATTGTTTGTCTAAATTTGATGGCACCTTGGGCATAGATCTGATCTTGGGCTATCTGAATTCCTACCTACAGTGAGTGTTGTAGGTGCTGAGCTGATATAGAATGAATTCATAGCATTCTCTTCTCAAAATTTCCCCTAAAATTGGTCTCAAAATGATTAATTCTTTTCTGGTTTGTGGCACTAAGTAGTATATTTACTTGAAAAGTCTGAATAATTTTAGTAAACCATTTATCTTTAAAAAAATCCTGTAAATTCCATACTGAATTACCATATATGCAAAACAATTGTACATTTGCTCTTTTTACAATCTGATGCCACTGAAAATATGGAATAAAACTCTCTTTTCAGCCCTTTTTGATTCTGTTGGGTTTTTGGTGTATTCAAGAGAGGCATAGGGTTCAGGATTGCAAATGCTGGTGTGTTACCACCTTTCCCATCTTGTTCTGCAGGAAGAGAAAAACACTCTGATTGTGTGATGAAACTACGTTGTAAAGCATAAAAGGTTTTTTTCTTACCCAAATGATTTAATCATTTCAGCAGGTTTTGCTTCTTGCATGGCTTTGCAGGACACAGGACAGATTCACAAAAATTGGGATTGTCCCATAAAAATTAGGTTGTGTGCTCATCCTAGTCTGATCCTCCAACTCCCTATACAGCTATTCCCACACTGCCTAATGTAGATCAGTTTGATAAATCAAGAAGTCTATCGTCACCTTAAAATATATATTATTTTCCTATATTTTATTCCTAGGAACTCATTTCAGGGTTTCATCTTCTGTGGAGGAAGCTCTGGCTGATGGGAGACCGATCGTAGCCTTGGAGAGCACCATCATTACACATGGCATGCCCTATCCCCAGAATTTGAGGTTGTAGATTTGATGATTTGATGACCCTAGTGCAGCAAAATTGTATGGTTGTGTCTGATAATCTATGGGCCTGTTTCTGTATTTGTGGTTCACCCAAAGCTGCCACTAAAATTAGTGGGAACTGAGGGTGTGACAAGCATGCAGAATATGACCTTGGTTACAAAACAGCTGCATCTGGGCTTTGAAAGATAGCAGAACTACATGACAAACCCCAGATTTACACGTACTATACATATCCATCTGTAGCGGGGTCGGCAACGTTCGGCACGCGGCTCGCCAGGTAAGCACCCTGGTGGGCCGGGCCAGTTTTATTTACCTGCTGACGCGGCAGGTTCGGCCGATCGCGGCCCCCACTGGCTGTGGTTCGCTGTCCCGGGCCAATGGGGGCGGCGAGAAGCCATGGCCAGCACATCGCTCGCCCGCGCCGCTTCTCGCCGCCTCCATTGGCCCGGGACGGCGAACTGCGGCCAGTGGGGGCCGCGATTGGCTGAACCTGCAGCGTCAGCAAGTAAATAAAACTGGCCCGGCCCACCAGGGTGCTTACCCTGGTGAGCCGCATGCCGAACGTTGCCGACCCCTGATCTGTAGCATCAAATCCCTGGCTTTCTTCACAAAGTGGCAGCAAATGATGACATTGCCTTGTCTGGATAGAGATCTCAGGCATTTGTGGCTGGATGGCTTGTGGAGACCTTGCAAGTACTCATAAGTTTCTTTGGCTACATCTTTTATAATGTAAAAGTTACTGGAATACAATGATGACCTCTGCTTATCTGTACATTGACTGTAAATGCCACTACAATGTTCTCCTGGATTCTCTTGCTGGCCTATGCTAAGACAGCACTGTGCCAAGGAACCCCATCTCTGCAACCAACCCTTTACTTGTGGATACCCTCTATATAAGTATTCCTCTGAGTGACAGTACCAAAAATGTAAGCAATCTCCCATACTTTTGCTTAGCTACTGAGCCACGGCAGAGGAAGGTTACTGTACTGAATTTTCTATTTGTTTCTTATACAGCCATTATTTTTCTCTGGTGCTCAGGGGTGAAAGTAACTTAAAGGACTTACCGGTACACCTGAGTCCTGAGCGGGGGTGGGGCCTCAGCCGGAAGAGGCGGGGCCTTTCAAGATTTAAAGGCCCTGGGGCTCTGGCTGTGGCTGGGAGCCCCAGGGCCTTTAAATCACCCTGGAGCTACCAGCTGCAGAGGCGGCTGGGAGCCCCAGAGCTCAGGGGCAAATTAAAGGGCGCGGGGCTCTGGCCACCGCGGAGCTCCGGGCCCTTTAAATCACCGCGGAAGCCCTGCCACCGCTACCCTGGGGCGGCAGGGCTTCGGTGGGGATTTAAAAGGCCCGGTGCTCCTGCCACTGCGGGGAGCCCCGGGCCCTTTAAAGCGCCGCCCGAGCCCCACTGCCGGAGCGCCGGCGGTGATTTAAAGGGCCCGGGCTCCCCGCAGCGGCTGGAGCCCTGGGCCCTTTAAATCACCGCCAGGGAAGCCGGTCCAGTCCGGCACAGCGTACCGGCTCTTGCTGGTATGCCATACCGGACCGGCTTATTTTCACCTCTGCTGGTGCTGTTCCTTAGAGATCAGAATGCAGTGAGTTCTGTTTTAGTGAGAAGGCAGCTTGAGGCTGTCTAGGGCAGGTACAGAAGCCCCGGGGACAGAAGGACCTGCCAAACCTGCCAACAAGAAATGAAGTAGTCTCACAAATTAGTAAATAAAAAGCCTGCAAAGATGAAGAAGCCCCAACTTGCAGCCCTTCAGTATCCCACGCCTCTCACTGTCCATATCCAAAATCAGTATTATGAGAGGAGGAATTTGAGTGTCTAATGAAGACTTGGAATAGGCGGCTATCCAGTAAAGGTGTATGAGCTGTGACTCATTAGCCAGTTATGCAAAATGTTTTATAAAAAACAATCCCATCCTTCAAGAGGATCATTTACACTAAATACCCTCACTTTTCAGGGAGCTGGCAGCACTTGGCCTACAATCTTCATGTCTTACAAAACATGGCACGTGTGGAGGTACCTAATATAAGCACATACCAGATTATGTGTAATTGCTTCCTTAACATACCAAATCATTACCCTTCATTTCTCCATGATATTCACCTTCAGCTGTTTGGTGGAGAGAAAAGCTGGCAGGGTACAGTAAATCAAGTTAATGGAAACAAATCCCATCCACACCTGTTTGTTTTGTGATGTGGAAAGCCACTTTTAAACAAATAATCTATGGCACAATTTAGGAAGAGTTCTCAGTCTCTTCCACCCACACCTGCCCTGGTTTACCTTTTAGGATGAAGTCAGAACTGATAAGTGGCTCGGGACATACAGCACTTTTTTGCTCACTGGCCACAGAATAGACCTGGCTGCATATTAGGGAGGGAAGACTATAATTAAACACCTCCACCACAAATCATATCTCCTCTAATCTATGCAACACAGACAGGCAGGTCAGCCCTTCAGACACCTACTGGAAACTAAACATATAAAGGGCCCGATTTTCAGAGCTACTGAGCATTGGCAATGGGAGCTGTGGGAAGATCTGCACCTCTGGCAATGAGATCCAAAGACTTCTGCTAGTTGTAAGGTTCAGGAGAGGAACCAGATTCAGCAGAAGTTGAGGGAATGTTATAAAGTAGGAACTGGAACATGGTGGCAGAGAGAGCTGAAGATATTTCCCACCTCATCATTTTTCTGTTTTATTTTTTGTTGCTCTGTCTGTATTATTCCAGCATGGCCAGAGAGGTGGAAGAGATTGTAAGGACAAATGGGTCAGTACCTGCAACCGTGGGCATTTTAAATGGCAGGATCCACATCGGCCTCAATGATGAGGAACTTCAGTTTCTGGCAAAGAGCAAAAATGTAGTTAAGGTATCTCGGAGGGACCTTCCCTACGTTCTCAGCCAGGTACTGTATGTAGATCTTCATTGCCATCAAGTTTTCTTTATAGCAATGTTATGCTGCCCCAGCCTAAACCCAGGTGGGAAAAGTACTTCTCAGTGTCTTGGAGATGTCATATACAATTTTCTATGATTAAGATGACATGTTCACAAAACATGTTCCTAACTAGGTTCCACACTAGCAGAGCTAGGAAACCACAATTTGATAGCCATTTCCCCAAAGAAATCATTCTGTGTTGGCTCACAGCATGAAAAGTGAGGCTTGGCTTAGAGTATGCACACTATAGTGAAAAAGCACTGGTGTGTTGCAAATGATGGCCAATGCAACAACAATGATAGGCCATACACTTTAAACATCCACACAACTGTTAAAGTGATTTTAACTGCTCAGGAGAGTTGCCAATTTGAAAGCCCTGGTGCCTGAAATCTTCTGTTTATCAGCAAAGCACGCATGGCAAAAATGGCAGCAGTACAAGACTCCTCACCTAGACTTGCCAATGTGCCTTAATCCTGGTATAACGGGAACACTTCCAGGAATGAAGGGGAGTTCATTTTTTGCCCCCTCTGCTGGGATTGTTAACAAGGGTGCCAATTATTATGGTGGGGTTTTAGTTTTGTTTTTTTATGATGTGGATGACTGTCCACTAGGAATTAGACTGAGACCATCTGCTCATTTTGCATAGGCCAATGAACAGCAATAAGACAGCAATTACTTTAGGTTACATTGCTCTACAGCCAGAATGCTTCTGAAATAAATGTAGTCAAACTTTACTAATTCTGGGTCAC